AAGAGTGAAAAACAGTCATAAGTCACCTTTTTCAGTGCCGTCATAACTTTGAACGATCCCTAAATGGATTGTTGTGAGCCGAGGGCACCTGTGGTGTGTGCTCAGCAGTGCGGTGGGTAAACCAGAGATTATGGCTTCCTACGTTGGGTGAATCCAGCCAATTAAGGTTTATTTAGTACATCCTCCCTAATAAGCCACGATCGAGCGAGTCAGACCAACCCTGCCTGGGGCTACATCTTTAAGTCTTTTGCTCCCATCATTCATTCGTAAGCCAGATGCACCCAAATCCCCGGCCTCCCCTGAGCCCCTCTTCTCTCTCCCTGGTCTTTGATCTTGGATTTAGACAGGCTGCTAATTGAGGCCCAGCCTTTCTCTCTTCCGCTTCATTGAGAGATCTTCGCGGGAAGCCACTCAGCTCCCCAGCAGCTACGGAGGTGCTCGAGAAAGCGGCCAGGAATCCGTGGCGCTGTTTCCCCACGAAGCTACTACAACTCCCAGCATTCCCCAGGAAATGCCAACAATTGCATCGTTCAGTTGAGACAGCAGCCTTAGGCTGGATCCTAGAAAAGTCTTGATTTTGGACCTGCACTGGTTCTGGTTGCTGAATCAGACGTCATTCTAACCCACCGTTCATGTGATTCCCTGAACAGGTCACGATGGCTGGTTATACACGTTACACTCATCACACATCAAACAAACCATTTTATGGCTGGGCATTAAGTTCGATCATGGAGCCTCCAGGCTCCCAGATCCAGTTGATCCAAACAAAAACTTAGAAACCTTAAACAGGACAGGATTCCTTGCTGAGAGCGTGGGAATCTCTGTCTAAGTGTGTGTGTGTGTCTGTGTGTTGTGTGATTCCTTGTAGGACGTGCCTTCCTACTTTTTCACCAGGGACCGGATTACAAATGTACAGCCAGACCATTGGAAATGGAGAGCCACAACGCCACCGCCAAAGAGAAACCATCGCTCAACACTCTAGAGATACAACGTGCCATTTCCCACGTTGACTGTTGTATAATTATCACCGAAAGTAGGTAAATTGTCACCGCCTGTGTTCCTCAGTTTTCCAGGTCAATGCCTCAAAGCCCTTCCTTGCAACTAGACAACTGGAGGAAAGTAACCGTGCACACAACAGCTTGCCAGCCGAACAAACCATGAAATAACACAGAACATCGAAGAGTCAACTTTCGGCCCAGATTCCCTTACTCCAAGGTGGCCTCACTCTGTGCCCTGTTTTTTTTTCCTCTCTCCATGGATGACTACAGCAAAACAACCACCTGGATCGTTCCCCACCCTCATCTGTCCTTTTTATGGATTCATACAAACAGCCTGACTTAATCCCGAGTGACCGCATGACCCAAACTCTCACCAGGCCTAGTCCGGTTGAAGACCGACCAACATGCTGACCTCTTTCAAGATGACCAACGTCCAAACCAGAGGACGGCGAGGAAAGTTCAATCCAGCCAACAAACCACAAGGCCGCCTTGAGCAGCCAAAGGAGAAAGGATATGGATTACAGACCAGTTTGAGGCACCAGCTGCGTGGTCGCGTGGACTGGCTGAAGCAGAAGAAGACGGTGGGGGCCAGGGCGGGGTAGGGGACCTCGTTGTCTCCCTCATGGGCTGGATCCCGGGTGGACGAACCTGCCGAGGCCAAGCTGTCCTGGATGGACTTGCAAGCACTGAAGGTATCGTCATCTTTCTCCTCTTCAGAATGGGGGACTTGGCTGGGGCCTTGGCCAGACGCTATGGGGACCCGCACTTCATCCCTGGACGGTGGCTGGAAGGATGCTCTCCTCTCGCCATCAGTCATGATAGCAGCTGGCTCCTGAGGCGGCAAAAAGAGAGAGTCAGGGGCAGAGAACTTGCAGGACCCCTGGAGAAAGTCAGAACTTGTCTTGGGATGGAGCCCCAACGTCACAGTTGATCCCAAAATCCATTAACCAGGTTATGACTTTGACAAGAGATGCTTCCCTTCTCCAGGCCCAGATCATGGTTCAGCTTTGAATGGAAAAGAGCCGACCCCCCCCCTAGGATGGGGCAAGGAGTCCATGGACGTTAAACTGAACGATTGGACAAGCTAAGATCAACTTGATGGTTAGCCTAAGGGACCAGACATCAGCGCTAATGTCAGGGAGTGATTCTGTAAATAGAATGGAAAGTAGGATGTGGGGGGAAAGGTGTGTTGTCAGGAGGGAGACAAAGGTCCAGTGGGACGCCCCCTTGCAAAGCTGTAGACCCCTCTGGGGAGGGCAGGGTGCTGGGTGGTCTCAAAATGAGAAGAGGATTGGACAACAGTCTCCGTCTAGCAGGGAGGAAGGAAAGAAGGAAGGAAGGAGATGATGCAAAGAAGGGAGGGAGGGAGGGAGGGAGGGAGGGAGTAAGGAAGGAAGGAAGGGAGGGAGGGAGGAAGGAAGGAAGGACATAATCATTTCTTAGCATACAATTCTTTCCCTTCTCTTTCTACCTGCTTGCAGTTTATTCCTTCACTTGATGCTGAATGCCACATCTCCCTTGGCAGCAAGGGACACTTACGGTGTCTTCCGCCATTTGCTGCCCCATAGCCAGACTGTTGTGAGGCAAAGGGAGTTTCTGTATTTGAAAACTTTGCAGGTGAATTTGGAACAGAAGCTGAGGAAAGAAAAGCCCCCGGCAGGGGTTGGGGGGGATGTGCCTCTGCATGGATGAAGCCCCCAATGGCCTCTAGGGAGACCCCGGACCAATCCCGAATGCAGATGGAAATTCTCTTGCAGCCTCGTTTAGGGGTCACAGCTGGGAAGACCCCCAACTTCCTCTCCTGAGTGACTCTCCCCTATCCCCATTGCAAGGGATAAATTGGTGGGAATTGCCACTATAAAAGTCTCTGTTGAGTTGATGGAAACTGCCAATTCTTTCTCTCTCTCTTTTTTGGGAGGGGTTCAATGTTTGTTTATCTAGCAAATGAGACCTGTTGGACTCTAGGCAGTTTATGGGATCATATAAAATGCAGGACAGAATCAGAAATTTAAAAATCCAATAATACCATCTGTAATCTGATTCCGGGACTGTCTATACAGGACAATAGGATTGTCTTCTTACAAGAATGTTCTTTTGAGTCAACCCCCTAATCTTCTACCTCCGATTCCCATCTTTTGGAGGGGAGCCAAGTTGGGCTTTGGGCTGCCTAAAGAAATTTATCCCGGATATTCCCAGAAAAGTGGTGTCAGCAGTGGGGTGGCATCAACAGAAGGGATCTACGGGTGGAGCAGAGAGAATTGAAAAGGGAGCTCCAAAGAGAGAAACTGGAGGGTTCAGTTGGATGGTTTTCCCCCCCCCCCGCTTGAAAACTATCGTGGCATGAAAATGCCTCCCTCCCCGCGACCCTCTCCTATCTCCCGGGCCTTAACCTCAGGTCGCGACTACCTGCCCTCCCAGGGAACGGCTGCGGGGAGCCGGAAGAGCTTTGGGGCACTCACAACAAGTTACGCCCTTCGGTTTGGAAATGGAAGTCGGCGGGACTCAGGAGAAAAATTGGGAAGGGGCACAAGGTAGAAGACCCCCCTTTTCCGTAGGGACGGTAATCCAGCCACCCACCGCGGGAAGCGGTTTGCGGTTTTCCCCGCACACCGATGGAGAGGAAGGTTCGGAAGAGGGAGAGCCGCGCCAGGGGCAGAGGGCGAACCCGGATCTGCCCCCTCCCCAAATCGAGGGGGCAGCTCTGGGAGCGAGGGGGCTGCGAAAGGGGCGCGGGCGGAGGAGCGCACGAAGGCCGAGGCGAGGCTGAGCAGAAGAGGAGGAGAAGCGAGCGAAAGAGCGAGCGAGGAGGTGGGCTGGGAAGCCGCGGGCGAAAGTAGCTCGGGCATCGGAGCGCCGCGCCAGGCATTGTTCTCCGGACCCCGCCCGCTCAGCCCCGCCGGAGTGGAGGGTCCCCCGCGCCAGCCCCTTCCCTCTGCAGGCTGCGGGGGAAGAAGGGGGCGCCCCTTCCCTGGCATTGTCTGAAAAGTGAAGGAGGTTCGGGGAAGGGGGACGCCGGGAGAGAAGCACCCTCGTCCCGGTAAGCGGAGAAAGGAGGGGAAGGGCCACGGGAGCCTCAGTTTCCCTGAGAGAGTGGGAGAGGAGGAGCGAGGAGTGGGAAGGGGCGCGGGAAGTCCGGAAGCGCAGAGCGGCTTCGTTCTGCCGGCGGCTGCCGGTCTTCGTTCTGGAGGGGGGGGAGATGATCTGCCGGTGTGAGGTTGCTCCCGGGAACAGCCACCGCCTCGGATCGGGGCGCGCGCTGCAGCCCTCGACCACTTCCCTCGCTTTGGAAGCGGCGTGGGGAGCCTGGGGCGGGGTGCGGTGGGGCCGGGGAAGAAGGGCGGCTGCCGGCACACTTTCCCTCCAACCTGAGGTGGCAAGCCGGCGCCGGGCTTACCTTAGATCCGCGGAGCTCAGGCTTCCCACGCGCATAGCCGTGCCTTGGCGTTCACAGGAGAGCAAGCAGCAAAATCGACTTTCAAGGACTGCGAAGGAGAGCGCAGGATCGCTCCCTCCCGCGCCGCCCCCCCCCCGGGGGAAGGGGGCTCCGGCTCTGTCAATCCCCCAAACAGTTGGGGGGGGGAGGGGTGGCCTGGGAGAGGCTCAGGCGCCCAGCCACCTACCCTTTTCCTCCCCCCAAAAAAAGCCTCAAATGGACCCCACCTCTTCTTCCTTCGGCCACCCCCGGACGGTCTCCCCAAAAGGACGAAGCGCAAAAGAGGGATTCTTTTTCAAAATTGGACCCGGACTCCTTCCTTGCACCACGAATCGGGGGGAGGGGTCGCCCAACCCTTCCACCAAATCCGTTGCAGGAAAAGGGGAGAGCGGGGGGGGGGGCGTATGGATAAATAGGAGCCAGGGAAAGAGAGCGGAGCTGGAGAGAGCTTTTCGCTTTTGCGCACACGGGAAACTTCAGACTTAACCGAGGGAGGGAAGGCAGAGAAAGGGGAGGAGAGAGCGCGAGAAAGGGGTGGGGAACCTGAATTGCTGCTGCCGCCGCCGCTGCCGCCGGAATCCCGGCCACGAGAGAGAGAAGAAAAGGGCCCACCCAGCTGAGCAGCGGCGGGCTGGCAAGTCGGAGTGATGCCGGTGCGCTTTGGAAAGCGCGCCATGCGTAAAAGTACCCGGGGCGCACCGCCGGGATGAACTCCGAGGTGGCGGGCGGCCAGGGCGCGCCGTCCCTGCCTCCGGCTTGGCTTGGCGAGGCGAGGCGGCTGGGTGTGTATGTGCACGCGCGCGCGCCGAACTCCGGGCTTCTAAAGGGGGTGAAATGCCGGGGGAGGGGCGCGGGTCTTTCCAAGAAATGGGCTTCTGCCGTTCCTCTGCCTGACCCGGACAGCTGCAGACCTTTCTCCCGCCCCCGGCTTTTCCCTCCCTCCCTCTCACTCCTTTGTTCTCTTCCTCTCGTTCGCTCGCGAAGCGGCGCTGCCCGAGGCGGCGCGCGCTGAAGGTCGCTCTGCCGCCCGTTCGGAAGTTCCGCGCCGCGGCGGGAAAGGAAGCGGTTAACCCCTTCCAAGCGCGGGGAAGCAGCACCTGGGGGGGAGTTCTTGAAAGGCTGCCGCCGGGGAAGAGCCGAGGAAGGCGCGGCTGCCTTGGGCGCTTGCTCGGGGTGGCGGAGGGGCCCTTTCGCACGCTCCCTTCCAGCTTCGCTCCCGTGGAAACCGCAGGGTGGGTGGTGGGAGAGAAAGCCCGAGACGCGGGAGGGGCCGCCAGAGGCCGAAACGCCCACCCCCACCCCCGTTTCCAAGAGAAAGCTGGTCCTGCGGGAGTGGCGAAGAGACGCGTTTTCTATCTTTCCAACTGCGAGCTTCCCGCTCACCCGGCGTTTTTTGCGATCACTTTCCCGCTGTCCCCAAACCGCAGACAAGGACGATCCGGTGATTCAGGGAATCTCCTCAAGCAAACCGGTCACCTGGGGATGGGGACACCCACCCACCCCGAACAAGATCTAGGCGGGAGGAGAGAGATTTTAAAACTTCTGGTCTTCTTTCTTTCCTTTTGGGCTGCTTTGGGGAGGCTGAGGTCAGCCAGCAGGAAACCCCCCCCCCGGGTCCCTCTCTGAAGGGTAGAAGGTTTTAAGGGCTTTCCAGTGAAAGGAGGGCAAAACAGCTGGTCCAACCGGGGCCCAACCCCACCCTTTAGATTAGCAGTGCTGTAGCTGTCAAAATGTCTCCTGCAGTTTTCCCACCTCTCCTGGCTCCCAGGCCCCTTGTAGGAAATTCTACCAGTGAATGCCCTGTTCCTCTGCATTCTGCAGGGAGTTGAGTCTTGGTTACTTTATGGACCTGCTCAGGGGGTCTTTGGGAGGTATGGGCAAAGAAGAGGGGTCTTTGGTGCCATCAAAATCCACCTGTTTTTTGATGTGCATCACAGACATGATGCGCTGACAAAAATAGAGCTTTGATCATGCCAGGCCAGCTGCCATTTTGACTTTATTCTCCCCTTTGGGCTGCTCTCTGACTGGGTTTGTGATGGGCCAGATATTCAAGTGGTAAAGGCTCCCTCCCTCTATCCCTGCAAAGGAAGAGAAGTCTTCAGTTGTCAGGGCCCTCAACGGACTTCCCAACCTGCATTTTGGGATGTGATGTAATTCATGGGGAAAGTCAGGATGAAGCTTTGCAACAAAGCTGTGTTTCCATGGACCCAAGAAAAAATCTTGGAATCAGGTAAAGATTTCCAAAATATATTATTTTTCACTTTTAGGAAATCCAGAAATTCCACAGACCTGGGAGGAAATTTCCATTCACTGTGACAGGGGAACATGGATTCTCGGTGGGCCCAGTTCTCTCAGATTGGGAGGCACCAGTTTCAAGATTCTGGAGAGGGGGGGTCTCCAAAAGCTCTGACTTCTAACCTTGACCTTGAAATTCCCTGCAATGAGCCATTCCTCAAAGGTAGCCCTTCACCTCCCCTTGAAGGTGCTAGGAAAGAAGGCAAAGGGAATCACAGTTCTCCTCTCCAGGTAATTCTCACCGGCTTCAGTCTGGATTTTGCCAATTGCCAAGAAGGCTCCCAGCACAGTGCAATCTAGCTAACAGCCCTTGCATAAATCATGTTAAAAAAATAATGAGTGTCTGTGGACCGAATTCATTTAGCTAAAGAGATAGAGGGCCACTTTCAAGTTATTTAGAAAGATTAACCGAAGAGGAAGGGAAGGGGGAGGATAATGAGGAGAGAAATGGTATTAGAAACAATCCATCCTTAATCCATTCCAGATCATTCGGCAGAAAGTTCTCCCAGATGAGGTTGGCAGGGCGATGGCAGCCACGGTAGCATTTCTCTTTGGACACAGTTTTAATTAAACCCGGCCTGGGGATGTGCAACGGCAATTGAAAGACAACATTTTCATATGGACCAAGGATCTGTGATATTTACCCTTCAAAATAATCAGAGTGGGGACATTCTCTCTCCCTCTGTGTGTGTGTGTGTGTATGTGTCTGTCTGTCTGTCTGTCTCTCTGTTTCTCTCTCTCTCTCTATCTCTCTGTGTGTCTCTCTGTCTCTCCCTCTCTCTCTCAACAGGAATGTAATCTTCTTACGGGTTGCTTTATCCCTTTACAAAAAGCAAATTTTTCTTTTCAAATGAAAAAAAAAATCCCTCTGAAAGCACATTTAACCAACAATCACAGAAATGGGAAGCCCCCCCCCCCAAAAAAATCCGGGCTGCATTGATGCTGCACCCCAAATGCCACTGAGTTACGTGAATCAAGTTCTGGGCACCAGCAATACTTGTGGGTCCTGCTTCTCCGAGGCATCTTCCTAGCCTGGGCCAAGATGAGCAGGAGAAATGCTGGCTCCTTCCCCAAAGAATAGAGCCAGTTGAGGATGAGATCCTGCTCCATGGGTTCTTGAAAAATGGGGGGAGAGTCGGGGCCCTCCATCCTGACCTGTGTTGGGGACCAGCAAACCTGCTTGGATGCCTCTTCTGGGACTTCGGCTGCCCATTTCTGGGAAGAGAAGGCTGGGAGGTAGAGGCACCCTTAGCTTCCACACCAGGCCCATCCTCGGCTTCCTTGGGGAGGGGAGCTTGGAGAAGCAGAAGGCAACCTGATGAGGCCCACAGGCTGCCTCTTTTCCCCACTTAATTCCCATGTTGGGGCCCAGGCGTCACCGCAGCCACTGGACCAGGGTTCCCCCTGCAACAGGAGGAGGAGGAGGATGGGGTGGGGGGTTTGCAAGCCCTGCTCCCCTCCTCTTCAGCTGTCTCCTGTTTCTGACATTTATAGCGTAATAACGCCCTGTGCGTATAAAATTCCTAAATAGATTTACATAATTTATTGCGACTCTTTTGTGGTTTATTTAATGCTTGGCTGATTCTTGCTCAGCTTAATGCACTACCATTGTGCGAGACGCACCAAGAGGGTTTGTTTTACAGTTTTTAATCAAGGCCTCCCGAACATCTGCTCGCTGCAGTTGCTGATGGGGAATTCCAGGAGAGGCTGGGCGAGGGGCGAGAGGGCTTCAAAGCTCTGCCCGCTGCCTGGCAGCCTTCCAGGGGCCTCCTTCAGTCCTGGCTGCCTTTCTGCAGGAAGCAAAGCAGCAACGGAGACCCTCCTCGGCAAAAGGCCCCAATCCTGGCTTGCATTCCTGGTTTGTATAAAACCTTCCCTCGGAGAAGAAGAGGAGTGGAGAAGCCAAACTTTGCCTCTCACTGAATGCTAGTTTGCATCTGGTGGAAGGAATGGAGGGGGGGGGAAAGAAGGAAGGAAGGAAGGAAGGAAGGAAGGGGAAAGCAAGGGAAGGAAAAGAAAGAAGGAGGGAGGGAGGGAGAGAGGGAGCTGTGCAAAATAGCTCTTATTTGTAGTCTAAACTGGTTCCAACCTCTCTGTCATCTCATGTCTTACCTGAGAGACAAAATTTGCAGGTACGGGGAAAAGAGAACCTTGACAATTGATAATGTTCAACACTGAGGCAGCGACTCCAGTTTGTGGGATGACAATCTCTGGCCACAGCACAAAAGGAAAGGAGGGGAGGAGGGAGGAAGAAAAAACCATAAAGAAATGGAGGAAGGAGTTCTTCAGGAAAAAGCCCCCTTTCTCTTCTGCTCTTCCTGTGAAAGGCGATGATTTCTCCCTCTTCTCCACCTTGCTTGTGTATCCTACTTTCAGCTCTCCTTCAAAGATGCTAATTGCGGACAGCAGAAGAACGACTCGGAGGGCATTATGGTGAAATGGAGACAACCTTTATAACTTACTGGAAAACCCAGTGGCTGTTTCCAGTCATGGGTTGAATTTATGCAAGATTGCTCAGAAAAATGCACAACAATTTCGACGGCTCACCAATCTCCAAAAGGAAGGGTGACATTGGACTCAAGTTTGGGAAGTGTAACAGCCCCTCCTGCTAAAAACCATCCGAGGGCCCACTCTAGGAGGTAAACATGGAGAAATCAGGATTTTTTTCTGACCCAGGCCAAATTCGGTGCAAAATATTATAACCGCTTGAACATTTTAGAGCCCCTTGAGTTGTTACTCGTACAGAGGGACAGTGGCAAAACTTTTTGTGGCTGGGCCTGGTAGAGTTTAATTTTCTAATGGACGGCTTTCTTGCCATTTTGTGTTAGCCAAAGAGAGAAAGGGGGAAGCAGAACAAGAAAGAAAGACTTTCTATCAAGCCAGGAAGCTGCTGGCTTCAGCAGGAGGTGAGGTTAGTCATGGAGATGAGAAGACGCAGCGTGAGCTTTGCACACCCAATCAATATAGCTTTGGGTGGATTAATCTCCCTGGAAGATTCTCTGCCTGGTTTAAATGCAGCTCTGCTTTTCTCAAGGGTTTAGATGATCTTCAGGCAAAAGAAAATAAACAAAAAAAGTGGGGGGAGGATTGAGGGATTGGGCTGTTGGAAAATGAAGTTTCTTTAGCTTTTAATGGCTTGTCGGGAAGATCAAGGAGGAAAGAGCTGCTTGTTGTGATGTTTCTGATTTTAACTGAAGTCAGAATAGAGTTGGAAGGGAGCTTGGAGGTCTTCTAGTCCAGCCCCCTGCTCAAGCAGGAGATCCTATCCCATTTCAGACAAGTGGCAGTGCAATCTCTTCTTAAAAACCTCCAGTGATGGAGCACCTACACATTCTGGTGGCAAGCAGTTCCACTGGATAATTGTCCTCACTGTTAGGAAGTTTCTCCTTAATTCCAGGTTGCTTCTCTCCTTGATTAGTTTCCAGCCATAGTTTCAGTGCATTATATATCCAGGAGAAGCAAAGCTTCATCCTAGGTGAGGAAGATGTTTCTCTTTCAAAGCCATGAAGAAATTCCTCCTCTTTTGGATAATGCAGAAGAGATTTGGACAAAGTGGCCTTGGAATCACCATCGAACTTCTTACCTATAGTCTGTCCTACTATCGAAGCACCATTGAGAGTGTCCTGACATGCGGCATTCTTGCATGGTATGGGAGCAGCTCTGTAGCGGACAGAAAAGCTCTACAGAGAATCATTAAAACTGCCCAGAATATCATTGGGCTCCAGTTACCAGCCCTGGACGACATCTTCGAATCTCTCTGTTTGAGGAAGTTGCACAACATTCTGAGAGACTCTTCCCATCCTGCTTACAATCTTTTTGGGCTGTTGCCTTCTGGCAGAAGATACAGAACAATTAAAACTTGGACCACACATTTTCTGAATAGTTTTTATCCCAGAGCTATAATTGCACTCAACCATGAACTAAAGGGCCTCCATCAGGGAGCTGTTGGACAGCATTACTTGGTCTGTTGTGTGGATGTTTGGGTGCTTTAGGGGTGGGGAATTCATGGGGGGTGTTTGGAGATTGTTATATATGTTGGACCTGGTCTTTGGGTGTTAAGTGGATTTGGTTGTATGGGTATACTGTGTATATACAGTACATACAATGACAATGAAGTTATTATTATTACCTCCCAAATCCTAGAATCCTTCCCGTTAATAACAGAATCCAGTGAATATGTTTTCAGCGTCAGTCAAAGCACTGCAGAAGTATCTCAGCTGGTTTCTTTTGGCCTCCTAGCCTGGTTACTGGACTGCGCCTGCCTCCCTCCCTCCCTCTAGGCATTTTCTCTTCTCCCAAGGACAAATTGGAAGTGGGGTGGGGCAGGGGTGGGTTGTACTTAACCTTTACTACCGGTTCGCAATGGGGCTGCGCACGCACGCTTCTGCACATGCGCAGAAGCTCCCTGATGATGTTGGGGTCGGTGGGTAGAGCCTCCCACCAGTTTTACTACCGGTTCTTGCAAACCGGTCCGAACCGGTTTGCAACCAACCACTGGGGTGGGGGGTATCCTACCACGCCAGGGTGGCCTGAGCCAAAGCAAACTTTGCTGCTGGAAATCTACTCAGGCGCTCTCCTGGGGAAGCCTTGGCAGAAGATAACAAGCGGCTGGTGCCATCAGGAGCTAGGGAAGTGGCTGCCTTTGGCTTTTAAGAAGGCCATGAAGAACTCGATGTGCTGCTTCCTCTGCAGGTTTAGAGCACAGCCTTTCCGAGAGGGCCAATTGCCTTGGAGTTGCCCTTCCCTTGCCAAATTGACTCAGTCTCCTGTTGCTCCGGCCAGGCAATGGACCTATCATGCAACAGAAAGAAGAGCAGGGGGTCTTCATGGGGGGGGGTGTCTCTTTCGCCTTAGACCTTTTCTTCCACAGAGGAATTATTGAGTCTGTCATCTGCACCTCTATAACTGTCTGGTTTGGCTCTGCAACCCAACAAGACAAACCCAGACTTCAGAGGATGATTAGAACTGCAGAAAAAACAATGGCTACCAACCTGCCTTCCATTGAGGACCTGTGTACTGCACGACTCAAAAAGAGGGCTATACAGACCCCTCACATCCTGGACATAAACTGTTTCAACTCCTACCCTCAAAACGAGGCTATAGAGAACTGCACACCAGAACAACTAGACACAAGGACAGTTTTTTCCCAAACGCCATCACTCTGCTTAATAACTAATTCCCACAACACTGTCAAACTAGTTACTAAGTCTGCACTACTATTAATCTTCTCATCATTCCCACCACCCAACTCCTTCCACTTATGACTGTATGACTCTAACTTTGTTGCTGGTATCCTTAAGATTCATATTGACTGTTTCCTAATATGATTTGCTTGCTTATTTGTACCCTATGACTATCATTAAGTGTTGTACCTTATGATTCTTGACGAATGTATCTTGTCTTTTACGTACACCGAGGGCATTTGCACCAAGACATATTCCTTGTGTGCCAATAAAAATTCTATTCTAATCTATTCAGAGGAGAAGTTTGGGAAGAGCCTTTTTGAAGGCTGAGAATATCCAAGGCAGCATTTGGATGAGGGCAGCAAGGTCCTCCTTTCTTTCCCCAAGGGCGCTCAAGGCCAAAGTGCCAAGCCCACCTTCTGCGGAGAATCCCTTGGCAGTGGTCAAAACCAAACAACAGGCCAAGAATCTGAGCTGATTAAACAACAACATCATGATTTTGAGTGGGAAACTTAATTAGAAAAGCTGAAATCATTTCTGTCCTGCTTTGAGGTTCATACAGGTAGTCCTGGATTTACGACCATTCGTTTAGAACCGCTCAAGATTACGGCAGCACTGAAAAAGGAGACTTACAACCAATTCTCACACTTACGTCCTTATGATCACATGATCCAAATTTCTTGGCAACTGGCATGTATTTATAACGGTTGCAGCACCCCTGGGTCGCATGGTTGATGGTGATAAAAACCAGTCAAGGAGAGGAGAACCTGGAATGAAGGAGAAACTTCCTAGCAGTGAGAACAATTAACCAGTGGAACAGCTTGCCACCAGAAGTTGTGAATGCTCCAACACTGGAGGTTTTAAAGAGGAGATCGGACAGCCATTTGTCTGAAATGGTCCAGGGTCTCCTGCTGGAGCAGGGGGTTGGACTAGAAGACCTCTGAGGTCCTTTCCAGCTCTATTCTGAACTGAATTGCCATTTGCAACTTTCCTAGCCAACTTCCCACAGACAAAGTCAATGGAGGAAGCCGGATTTCCTTAACAGTTGCCCGATTTACTTAACAAATGCAGTGATTCACTTAATGACTGTGGCAGAAAAGGTCGTAAAATCAGGTGCAACTCACTTAACAACCATCTTGCTCAGCAATGCAAATTCTGCTCTCAGTTGAAGTCCTCAGTTGTAACTGTTCTCTTAACAGAAACAGAGAAATTCTCCCAGTTTGTGTTTCCTGCAAACAAGGCAGAAACGCAGGTGTGGGTGTGAATGTGCCAAGATCAGCTAGGAAATGCAGCTTCTTACACCCCCCCAAGCCTCCCTCCCCCCCCGGGCCTCATTGCTCCACCTGAGGACCCTGAGAAGAAATGCCACTTGCCCCATTGTTGGAAGAAAATGCCTTAAGTCAAAGTGGGGGGAGGGGCGTGTCCTATTGGGGGGTTTTCATCCCTGGCACCGCCTCCTCTGCCCCCTTGTGTTGAGGATGTCTTGTGTGGGGAGTTTTTGTTGTTTCTCTCTATTATCCTGATATTAGGAACCCTTTGAAGTCTATTTATGGCTGGGCCAAAAGAGAAATGTCTCCTGGGAAGCAATTTGCAGCAGCTCTCCTACTAGTTAAAAATATGTCGGCATGCTAGAGAGGGAGGGAGGGAGGGAGGGGATCTCTTTTAAGAGCCCTCCTCCCTGCCATCTAAATATCCTTTAATGGGGCATTAAGTTTCAGATGCTGTAGCTTCATCCTCAAGATGTCCAAAAGAGAGAAGAGTTTTGGTGAATCACAAAAACATTCATATAGAAAGGAGGGGAGGTTGTACTTATTCAAGGTGCAGCAAAAATGTTTTCCTATTTTTCCTCTCACTTACATGCAATCCCGCTCCCAGGTTATGCCTGAAGCGACGTTCTAATTCGGAATTTAAATACCACCTCGTCTTCCCCCTCCCTCAACTTCCATCCCCGTCTCTTTTCTTCTAATATTTGTCCTCATGGTTAAATGAGAACGCATCTAGGATTGCTCTGAGACAGAAGTAAATATACATCCAAGCAGGCTTTTGGCAGGTGGATGGAGCGAAGAGATATTAAAAGAAGAAGCCAGGCAGAGCTCAAATATCTCAGGGGAAGACGAGTAAATTCTGCAAGTGAGAAAGATGGTAAAACAGCAGAAGAACGGGGGGGGGGGGGGGGAAGAACAAAGGACGGACCAAGGAAGATGGAAAAGTGTGTTTGGCAACAACAGCAATAACCATGCACTTCTTCATCTGTTTTCTACACGAAAGGCCTCCGTTGCAGATTTAACACCAAGATGAAGACAGAACTACCTTAACTGCACTTCTGGAAGTGAGCAAGCCACCTTACCTGGTGCCAAGATCAACAAGTATTGGAATGGCACATGGCTGTCTCTGGACACTGACTTTAACAAGAGAGAACTCCTGTCTGTGTTTCTTTTGGTCAGTAAGAATTTGCGGGATGAGATAAACGGTACCAATAAAAGTCACTGCATCAATCTGTTCACAATATCCAGCTCAGCTTTGCACAAGTGGCTGGGGAAAACCTCTTCCACCACCACTGCCAACTGTGAAGCGCTTGCTGGGAAGTGGTGGAACAGGGGAGAAATAACCTGCTTTACAGGCTTGTGTGAAAGAGAGATAACCAGCCGCAGCAGCAGCAGCAGCCTTCACTTTGGGTCTTCCAGTTCTAGGAGTGCCAGGAAGCTCTCCAGACCAGCCATTTCTACTGGAGGACTACAGCATTGGTGGAAAGGGATGAAGGTCTTGGGTTGAGTTCATGGAGGGAGGAGCTGTCCTTAGTCCTGAAATCTTGTCTTCGTTCCCCTGAAGTTCCTGATCAATTTCATCTCTTCAGATGGCCACAGCCATTCAGAGCCCAGCTGTTCTAACATCAAGGAGGTCAACCTTTCCTGCTGCCATTGCATGCCAACCAGTTCGCTTCTCAGCACCCTCAGCTGAAAGGGTCAGAGACCTCTGTCGGTAGGCAATTTACCATCCACAATATGAGATGGACAACTGCAGCTCTGCGGTTTCATACATGGCCTCCTACATGGGTTGAAATCGCTCCCCAAACAGGCCTTGAGGCTTCCAAAGAGAAGCAGCTCTATAGGCCTCTAACTGGAAGACAACTGTTTCTTCCAGCATTGACGGATGAATCAGTGATCCCTTCCCCGTGACTTTCATGGCTGCCTCTTCCCTCCCCGACCAACTTCTCAGCCACAGATGGTTGGCTGCTCAAACAGCCAAGTGGGAGAGTCATAAAGTTACCATGACAGGTTTTGACCAGGGAGAACAATTTGGTCACGCCAAGAGATTGCATTTTGCAACTATCAGGCTCAAGCAAGGTCCTTAGCAATTCCCTTCTTCCTAGGAAACAGAAGCCGGTCTAGAAAACTCATGGTGAGCAGCACTCGGATGCTGCAGGAAGGCAATAATGACGCGTCACGCTGTTTAATGTCTGAACCTGTGAGTCAGCCTGCAAGCTCATCCCCTTTGAGAGACAGGGCTTCACTCTTAAGACCCTTAATTAAAAGGCACACAGATACACAAACACACACTCATAAACATTGCTTGTAGGGGTGTTTACAGTGTTTTCCATTAGCTCCCTTTCGTGTCCAATGCATTATTTAGAGACATCACATTGCTAAATCCCAGCTCAGGAAGTTTTGCTGGGTATTGTTTATTGGGGGGGGGGAGGAAGATTGGTAGCCAGACCCCCTGAGGTTTGCATACAGGAAGATGGGCTTTCAAGGGCACTGGATATCTTTTGGGGGTGTGTGTGAATATTAAAGGGTCATTGCATTTGAAGAAAGTTCAGTCCAAGAAAAGATCCAAAATAAAATCGCACTGAATATCAGACTGGAACAGACACTCCACTGTGATCTGAAGGAGGGGGACATCTGTGCACGCCCTTTTTCCTTGAACAGAAGAGACGTGGGTATTTCCTACTGACATGTCAAAACGGAGCAATCTCTCTCTCTCTCACACACACACACACACACACACAAATCAAATTAAAACCCTGCTTCAATCAGATTGCTTTAATGGCCCGAAATGCATCACTGTTGTAAACTGAATTGCAAATTATCCTCCCATCCTGGGCCAGGGTGAAACAAACAAAATGTTCAAAAGTTATGATAGTTACGTAGTTACTTACCAAGCACATCTCAATTAGATGAAAGTAACCAAAGTATCTTGCCAATCCCCAAGGCATGTCACAACTTTTGAGCACCCCTAATGTTTAGAAATTGAAAGTTGAAAAATTCGACATGCCCTACCAGTGGGTCACGACTTCCTCATTCCTTGCCCCACCCCCGCCCCCAAATGAAACTGCTTACAAGCAGTTCGGAGGCACAGATATCCTAGTCAGATGGGATCTATGCAGATCTGCAAAAACACAGTGACCGGGTGACATGCAGGACTGAGCCTTCATGTAGTTTGATCTTCACTTAAGGTATAGTGTGACCCCAGTTGTTGGTGTCCAGAAACCATAGTTCATGGCTTTGTGTGATGGAGGAAGCCAGCTCATGTGCACCTTGTACAACAACAGCTCTTCTGGGCATCTTTAAGAATTGCAGTGCCCAATTTATAGGCTCCGGGAGCAAGCAACCATGTCCCCCTGCAGTTCTGAAGGTTGGAGCCCCCCTACTCCCCCAGTGGGGTGGGAAGGAAGCTTCTTCCTGGGCAAAACTCCTTTTGTTTGTGGCAAGGAAATCCCTACAGAGTTGCAAGAGAGCCCTGCTTATTCTCTCAAAGTTAGAGAAGGAGGTTGCCTGTAGCAACCTTTCAATTTCCTGCACTGTTTTCCGAGGGCGAAACTCTAAAGGCCTGTCAAGATGTAGAAGAGATAGGATTCTAAAGTAGCTGATGCCAGATAATTGGGACTTGCATATTCTTTGGGGAATACAGTAATTCTCCAGCTAATAATGGGGCCTTGGAAGAGGATTATAACGCAAGGAGAAAATGGCATGGTGGCAGCAGGTTGACCTAAAAGATCTGTTCTCTCTCTCTCTCTCTCTCTCCCTTCTCCTCCTCCATTTCTTCTCCTTTATCACTCCTTCTCCTTTTTCACAACTCCTCCTCCTCTCCCTTCAACACCCTTCTTCTCTCCTTTCTCCCTTTCTTCTCCTTTTCCTCCTCCTCTTCTACCTTCTCCTCCTCCGCCACCTTCTCTTTCTGGAACTGATGCGGTGTCTCTCCACAACTTCGGTCTTGACGTATCACAGAGCAACACCTAATGGCCTAAGGAGGAAGTGACTTCACTCCAGAATACCCGAGATGTGTTCTTAAA